TAGTTCAGTAAAAGTCTGGACACTTAGCACAATATAACACAGCATGGAACAGAATCATTTGTGGATTCAAATAGCAAGGGTATTTCCTTTGCCCTTAGTCATACGAGCACCAAAGTCAAACCGAGAGCAGCTCTAGCCAAAGGCTGAGCTGAGCATGGAGGACTTTGTGGACTTTGTTAGCCAGCCAAGGATCCATATTCAGAGCATCCAGTATACTTCTAATTGGCCTACTTCCCTCTGCAACTGAGTGGAGAGCATATTTCTGAAGAATGTGTTCATGAATGTATGCTAATCCCCGCTGTGTACATGCCTGCATGGATGTTGTGTTTATTTGTGAAGACCTCCAATATTATGCAGCCAGTTAGTGTGGGAACATGCAAAGGTTCTGAAGCTGTGTGTATGCTGTACTGTCTGATTAACTAAACACAGCACTCCTTTAACAGCTTGGATAAATAAATATATTTACTACAGTCATGACCGTCTAAAAGACTGAAGGTTACACTGCCAGACTCTTAATAATGCATCAATCAAACAGTATTCACCCCAATATCATATGTAATCAAAAAGCTCCACAATGCATTAATAAAACAGTTTATGCATCATACATGCATTTCTGTTCCTCTGTGTGTTAATTTTGCTGCAGAATGCCTCAACCCGCCTTACAAAGCAGCTTAGGAACAAATCCATAGGTGCCAAGTCACAAAAACTTCTTTCCTTTTTTTAATCAGAATAAAATGAGCTTCATGAATTTAATTTAAACCGTGTCCATAAAGATTCCCTCCATGTATTGAGATATACATGCAAATCATCTGCTTGGAAAAATATTGTGGTTTTTTTTCTGCAATTTCCTTAAAACCTTCGAAAGACAACTACTCCTTCTACCTCATTATAAATTCCAGAAACTACGAACATGCAAATTCCTGCTGGACACAAGATGTCTCATACTTCACTGTGAAGTTCATTCTCAGTGTATGTGCTGTGGCAGATTCGAGTTTCGAAATCACACGACATCACTCCAAACTATTTGTGATGTCAGAAATCATGCTCGTAGGCCCCACATCTTAAAGAAGGATTTTCAATGAGCACAGAGAAACGTTCCACTTTCAGCAGATGGATGTGAAACCATCCTTCTAGTGTCAAACTCTGCACGGACATCATTCTGCACTGTGAAGATCAAACATCACACTGTAGGAACAAGAAGAAAAACGTTCTTTTGGGTGGTGGAGGACTTCAATAAACGGAAAAGAAATAGCAAACAGGATCCGTTGTTGGATCAGGCCATTACCGAGCTGCTCTTGTGCAGTCTGATCCAGATAGAGAAATCTTAAGTAGGAAAACATGTTTCATGCAACTGCTTTGTGTGCAATCATGATGGCACATATGCATGTGTGGAAGGCTGCATGCATGCTTGTTCTCTGTGCGTGCAGTGTGTCTCCGTCCTCACCAGGCAGTGCTTGACACTCCTGCTGCTGTAGCTCCCACTGACAGTTGACATTGAGGGAGCAGCTCCTGCAGTTGGCCAGTCTGAAACACTCCTGCTCCTCCCTGCGCTTACACCTCGACGAGTCTGTCACCGACTTCAAACACACACACACACACACACACACAGACACACACAGAAGAAGCAGTATCAGTCCAGTTAAACTTCATCTTCAATGTCATCTTCTACAGTCAATGCAATACACTTGGAGGAATCGATACATTGTGCAACAAGCGAAGATAATTAAAGTGTGATGGTTTAGGGAATCAAATAGGGAAATAGAACATGCAAAGAGAAAAGAGAAATCAATATGAGGGACACATTAGTTCTGTTTATTCTATATGTTGTGCACATTTCACTTACACTACAACAAATATTCAACTTTACAACTGTATCTAAGACCTCAGAAGAAACATGATATTCATCCCAGTTATCTAAAACCTCAGAGGAAATAAACTTTCTGGTTCTTCCCTGAAGGAATGACAGACTGTCAGAAGCTATTGACACAGCATCTTTTTTTCATTAGAAAGTTTCCTGTTGAAGTGAATTGACAAAGTGTCAAAAATGTGTCATTCCTTGACACGAGAAAAAACACACACCTATCCCCTATAAAAGGATGAAACAAGGATGTTGTATCTTTGTCACCTTTGTCCGGCTATGTAAAAATCACAACCTTGACCTTTATTTGAGCTCGTTGTTATTTTTCATTAGATTATGCGTTTATGATGTAGTGCCTTATAAAATGACGTTTTTGTTTGGTTCTGTTTCATTGTTAGTTAGCAGGATGTCAACAATATGAGTCAAGAAAAAAGCGTTTAACTTTTCATGCAATGTTGGATCCAGTTTTTTCAAGGATTTCTAAATGTTTTAATAATTACATTTTTTTTTTACATTTGAGCTTTTTTCTTATTAGATGCTGTACTTATTTTAGCATTATGTGCATACATGTGTGTATGTATGTCTGAATGCTTGCTAGTTTTATAAGACAATATTCATTTTAATAAATGCATACGGGAACTGTTTGGCTGCTCAGAACAGAGGCAGTGTCTTATGATCCTTTGTAATGTCTTTATGATTGGATTATTTACTTTACCTCTGAAAGCTTTTGATTAGTAAAGGCTGATTTTCAATGTCACTTAATAAAGTGTGCCATGTTCAGTGCATAAGGGGCGTGCTAAACGCACTTTTGGTATTTCTGTATCCTCTTGGATATGGGATGGGATCAGAAATAATATATGATCATATATTATAGGCGTATCAGAAGCTGTGACAATCATGACCAATCACATTCACCACTTTCATCACATTTTAAGCACAGATTCAAAAAGAGATACAATAACCATCTGTGGTTAAATAGCACCGCAGTGCCAAAAATACAATGAAAGTAAAATTTAAAATGCAATCTATTTTTTTGCATGATGCATTTTATTTCTGATTTGAATGTTTTACATGCAGAAATAATTGTAAGGACATAGTCTATATAGCCAATTATTTTCATATTGCAACACTAACCTGATATGGTATGGTAATGATCCACAAATAAATAATAAGAATAATAGAAATAATAAGAATAATAATCAATCTTCATCACATTGTGTTGCTCATCATAGCCACATACCTGAATTCTAATTAAAATATAGAGCTCCAGATGACACTTGGCCACACACAGAGGCTGGACTTGCTAAAAAGATTATTTCGCACACAGACGTTACCATGGTTACTCCATTACAATTTTTGAAGGAACTGTTTTCAGTGTGTCAGTCTGCAACACGTCTGCTGATTTACAATAGAACAATTGGCTGTGCACATGGGCACAGATGTGTCTTTGGTAATTTTGCAACAGTCTGGTGCTGGTTGAAAAAAACTGAACCAGTGGATCTGCAGTGCGTAGCTGTGGCTCAACATCACTCCAGTTAGAGACTGCAGATGAAACCAATAGCTGCTTCCTTACCATGAAAAGAGTCACAGAGTAAAATGAAAGACCTGCAGTATATGCTACTAACTGCTGTGATCTTTATTCTACCTCTCTGGCATTGATGGGAGTTTTCAACCTGCCCAGAGCAAACAAGCAGTGGACAGTGCTCGTTCATGCTTTGCATCAAGATTGCAGTGCGTCGCTAAATTTGGCATCGCAACACCCTCTACCTCACCTCTCCTCCCACTGGGGCATACGGCGAGTCATCAAAATACCGCACTCATGCAGTCTAGAAATTAACCTCTGTGTGTCTCGGGAAAATACCAGTTCACTGATACAATGCGGAATTCTAGACACCAAATTTTCAATCATTGTCAAGGAAAGCTTGTTAGAAAAGGATGGAAGACTTGAATTAAATGTATATTTGGATTAAGAATGACTCCAATTGCCATATATCCCAAGGGACTGCTCTGACCTCTGATCTCAACCTTATGTAACCCGACCTGCGGCCTAACAGGAAGTGTCAAGTGTCAAATAATACACACATGTCCCCTCCTTCGGGCTCCGTGCTTCCACAAGCTCAGCTGATGTTCAGACAACATGGATGGTGGGGGAGACAGAGACAGAGCGCCGCCATGCTGCTGGGCCAGCTCCAGAGTCAGCTATACACACACATACACACACACAAATTCATTCACAGATTCACATTTAAACCCAGCCAAGCATGCATAAACAGACAAAAGCAACATGCATGCAGACAAAGATAGAAAGAAAGACAGAGAAAGTAGATTTGGGAGTAAAAAGAGAAAGAGACAGAGAGAAAACAAAATGAGCAAAATCACAAAAAAGTTATTTTTATAAATCACAGAAACCTTAAATCACATCTAAAAATATATTATCTTTTGAATTTTATTTCTTATCATACTTGAAAGGATAAAAGATAATACACCAATATGATGAGTTGAGTTTTTGTTGTTTGCACTGGAGTACAAAATAATGTGTGTAAAAGCATTAAACGGGTGAATAGCTGAAACAGCTATTCAGCTTTTAGATCTTTCATAAGTGGATAAACAGCTTCTAATGCTGGTTATATATCATCGGTCATTCCTGACACAGAATCTACCCCTTCCATTTCAGACACTCACACACAGAGCTTTCTTCGAGGGCCACTTTCGTCTGAAACCAGTATCTGGTACAAATGATAGAATTTTTACAAGTATCATCATAATAAAATGTGTCAGTATCCGTACTCCTAAATATAGCAACTCAATTCTGAGGCTGTTCCTTAAAACAGTTTTCTAATAAATGTAATTCTGATCAACCCATATCAATTTCAGGCAACCTCCAGTTGGCCCCATCCACTTCCAGTTTAAGCCCCACCCATTTGAAGTAAGTATACCAACACAGATAATGTTGTTTGCTGTACTTGCTCATTCCTACTTCTTATAATGTAATACACAGATTGCAATGAAATTTGCAGAGCACATTCATGCTCCACAGAGGATGAACCCCTTTAACCTTATGGCCGGCACTCTAGCACCAACCTACAGACAAACCTTACACTTATCACTACTAGTGGAAAGGCTGTAGGATGAACAAAGCCATCAGTAAGTCATTTGTTCCATTGAACACTCTTATACTGTAAGGTCTAATGAACACTGCAGTCTCACGGGCCACTAACAGGATTTTTCTTTTTTTTGCTTGCTTTACAGATACGCAGTGAAGACTCACCACGGTGCAGTTACTAGATGCAGAGATACATTTCCTGTCCTCACACCACTGACAGCCCCGTGTGTTGGCAGTGCAGCTCGCACAGTCTGAGAACCGGAAACACTGCTCGTCTGTACTGTCTGGAAGAGGGTACAACACACAGAACATTTTGCAGATCAGGTTAGATTTTTGCTAAAGGTTGTGTTTTGCAATGGTATACAAATGTAGTAATGCTTTTCCCTCGTCAGAGACTGAGGAGTGAATCACAGCTAGATTGCTTAGGGAAAATGGGTCTATTGTGTACGTGGAGCATACGCATTAGTAGTTTGAGACTCAAGACTTTGTGGAATTTAACCTGCCAACAGCAGACATTACATCATCATCAACACTGCATATCAGAAAGAAACACATAATGTATGATCCATCTAGCTTGTCCACACTGAATGGTTTGCAGCTGTCATAGTAAATATTTCATTCCTACAGCTACCTGTCAAGACAATGTAGGTCTTATACTTCTTGCTGTATTAGGAAAGATCAATGGACACTAATCATAATTGGATAGTAGGGTTTCAATGTCGATATTAGCAAAGGAGTAAAAAGTCAGAGTCTGTTTGCATTAGTGTGAAAAGCATGATTGAAATGTCCATCTGGCACACTCAAAAAATATCTGGTGTCAGGATTTTGCTGTACAGACATGTGTGATGTCCAGTAATGCTTTTATGAAGTGTAAACTCACATGTAATTAGTAAATTGTCTGGATGTGACTAAAAGGAATTTGCACATGGAAAAGAGAGTTCTGTTATGCAGATGTAATTCACGCTGGTCATTTATAAATGCTGTGTGGCCGTTTGTAGAATAAACATGCTTGTGAGATTGAAGCAGAGGCTGAAGACTGACCTAGGACACCTAATCCTTAATCCATCGACTCCTGATAGATTGGCAACCATTTTCAAACAATTTTGGATTTCTGGATTTTGGATTTTTCTACTGCAGATGTTTCTGGGTACATTTGTGTGACACGAGGATTGATTTAAATGGTCTGCACTTACGTCGTTAAGTCAAATATTTTACAGAAATAATGCCTGGAATGGTACATAATGAAATATAATATAAAATGCATGTAAAGGATGGATGATTTGTATTACATACGGCTAAACATGAAAAAACGGTGGTATGGTGGTTTAAGGCAGTCAAATCATGTGTAATTGCTCTATTTAAAACTGACAGTGCAACCATTAGCCTGATTGCTTTTTTATTTAAACCGGCAGTGTGCTGCCTGAAGCAGAATACCTGGAAAAGCTACTGCATCTACATCTGGCAGACACAGGTGGGGGGAGGGACAGGAGGGTTTGGACTGACTCTAATTACTTCAAAATGAGGTAATTGTTGCAGCACTGACCTTCTGTTCCTATAATTATGATATGCAAACAAACTTCAGAAGCCAAATCCTTTAGAATAAGTATTATTCTCATGAAAAAATTGGCCTTTTGGGAGCAACACTTTGGCTGTTTTTGCTGTGCATTTCTGAAAATATGCTGACATGAAAGTGAAAATATTTAGAGAGAAAGAAAGAAAGTAACAGATTTGGATACTGAAGAAACAGTTGGACAGACAGGACCCCACTGTAACTTACCGGGTCGTGGAGGGCAAAAAGGAGCAGGAAAAATGTGCTCAGGTGACCTTGGTTCCGAGGGGACACATCTACCTTTGACCCAATGGCAGCGAAGGCCCGGCCCAGCAGCAGCACACAAAGCTGGGTTAGAAAAGGCCGGGCAGGACGGAGGGGTGTAGGCCAGCACATCGTTCAGAAGGAGGCCAGAAAAACCTCCAAAGATGTACATGGAGCTGAAGAAGATACAAAGAGGATAATATAGAATCACAAGGGCAATACAAAACATGTACATACAGCAGGAAGGAAGCGACATAGCAAAAGTTACAGCCTGATAGTCCTAGTTTTAAGAAACAAGAAATGCCTGCAGAGATGAAGACGGATGAAGAAATGTTAAGAAAGCAGGAGAACCTTTCAAAAATAAAGCTTAACTTTGGTTAACGAAAAAAAAATGTGGGAGAAAAAGCGGTTTGAAGCTGGCCTTTTGAAGTTCAAAGCTGACATTTTTGTGCCCAAAGCTGACTTTTTGGTGGGTAAACGGTGTTAAAGGGTCAGACTATTATTTCTAAGTTTAGCAATAAGTTTTTCTGCATCATGATGGAGCTCTTTCAGCAAACGTTTTAAGTGTGAGTAAGTGCTGTCAATTACAATTTTTGATTTTACCAATCTCTCTGATTCGAAGGGACTGATGTTCACAAATCATGTTTAAGAAATAAAATCTGTGATCAGTCTACACTGTACAAGCTCTGATGAACCTATATGTGATATCAGGTTATCTACATTTGGCCAGTTTTTTCATGAGGTCAGGAAAGAAAAATCGCAACAAGAAAACATTGTCTGTTTCCTTACTTTGCAGCAAATACAGCGATTCAAAAACCACATTCCAATTCTTATAGAAACCACAGCTAAAGGATACAAGGCTATAGTGAAATTCAGAGATACAGATACAGCTCTTGAGGTAATAAAGACAGATACAGAGTGCATATATACACTGTATCTATATATGGAAGGTGTAAAGAAAGTTACTTCCAAATATAAGAGGTGAGGCGGCAGGCACAAAGCCAAGTTTCTAAACAGAGAACTTCAGAGACATCAGCTGAGGGAGAAGTGACAAGAAAAGTGTAAACTGAAACTAAATATAAGATTGAAATAAAGAGATCAATCCGTAAACAATCTGCACAACAAAACCATAATCTGGGAAAGTCAACCGAGACTCTCAGTGCTGCCAAAACACTGCAAAAAAAATGTGCCAAACAATAATGCAACGTGACTAGATTGGAATTTGCATACATGTAATTAAGAGTCTTTAAGCAATGAAACAAATTCTAGTAAATTCAGAGGTGCTGTTGTAGTCAGATATTCTCCAGAAGTGTTTAAAAAAAAGTATTTCCCAACTAGTATGGAAGGATAGGACTCACCCATTGCTAACCACAGCAGAGTGTCCAAAGCGGTTGACGTCCCGGTGCAGACCTGGTCTGGGGAGGACAGTCCATTCATCACAAGCTGAGGAGAAGCATACACACACAAACAAATTTTTAAATACAATATTTTATCTTTGTGTGTTTGCGAGTGCGTCTGTGTCTGAAATCAGAAAGTCCACGATTTTAAGTCTACTGAATAATTTATTTTCCTATATTTACTGTGCCTATATCATGGCAACTGACCACAGAAATTAGTATAATATATAATAAGTAAGGCAACTCTTTTGTCTACTGTTGTTAAATTGACTGATGAATAGACTGTCAGTTTCTTTAGAAAATAAACAGCATTTTTAATGCTGGTTAAATTGAATTAAAACTACTGTATATTTGCTGTGCCCTGACATTTCATTTTAGAGGAAACTTCTTTGCCAATGAGCAGCAAGTATTTTCTGTGGCCAATGTAAAATCAACTCTAATAAATCATTCAAACACTTATGGTAAATGGTAAATGGACCCATACAGTATGTATTGTAGAGCGCCATTCTAGTCTTCCAACCACTCAAAGCACTTTTATGAACCTGGTATAAATTAATAAAAATAAATCTTTATTTTATTGCAGTTGTGAAGTGATCAAGTTGTGTTCAAATAATTCCCCCTGTGAATGAAGACAAAGTTCTAGTTTGGCAATATGACATAAAAGACCTTAAAACGACCGTAATGTAATTAAAGATAATAACAGCAATAATAATCAGCGGGCATGTGATTCAGTTCTTATTCATTTACAACATTTGCAGGAACATATTGTGGCCAAATCTGAGTGGACGTCCAAATAAAACGCCAATACAACAAGCCTCCGCTCTTCTGGTTTCAGGATTTCCACCAGGCTTTGATTACTGTCAGTATTCCCAGATGCTGGATGGGGCTGGATGAGGTCAGGGCTCTGTGCAGGCCAGTCAGGCTCTTTCATAACAAACTGGGGAAACCATTTCTTTGTGCACATATGCGCTGTCATGTTTAAACAGAATCGGGTCTTTCCTAAACTGCTGCCAGTTGGAAGCACGATATTCAAAAATGTCATTGTATTCTGTAAATTTCCCATAAGATAGATAGATAGATAGATAGATACTTTATTCATCCCCAAGGGGAAATTCACAGTTTCCA